CAAGCCTCGTTCTGAGGCTACTCTAGAGATCACATGACCTTCCTCCAGGAGGCAAGCCTCGTTCTGAGGCTACTCTAGAGATCACATGACCTTCCTCCAGGAGGCAAGCCTCGTTCTGAGGCTACTCTAGAGATCACATGACCTTCCTCCAGGAGGCAAGCCTCACTCAGGACAAATTTGCCTTCCAATCTCAGTTCCTAGATGTGCTACAAGAGTGTACAGCAAAGAGTCAGATATGCAGCCCCTAGGTCTCAGATAGAAAGCCATTTATATCTGGCACTTATGGGTGTCTCATCCTCCCTCTTTAGGAGTCTGTTTGAAAAGGAATAGTCCTACCCAAGGTCAAGACCCAACGTTTCCCTGTTTCCAGAAGTTACTGGCTTGGAGAGCAGATCCTGGAGATAGTCTTCAGTAGCTGTATGTCTCTCCACAAGGGACCCCAGGCAATCCACACTCTTTGGATCTGTATACCAATTGAACTTCAGAAGCCTGTTTGTGTAGGCGAGACAGGCTTGGACATGCATTCCACATGCTTCAAGCTGCTCTCATAGCACATAGGAACAAAGCCTGCCTAGGGAATGCTTTCTTAAATGGGCAACACATACCTGTTCGGGGACTCTTTCCCTGCTTATAGGGGCACTATCTGCATTTTTGCCCAGTGACAGACCATCCATCTGTCAAAATATATATATCAAGCATACTACAGTTTACTAGGTTCCGGTTACATACTTCTCACATGATATTATTTGCACATGTTTTTCTTACTTTAAACGCCAATAATAGAACAAGATTTAATACAAGTTCCAGATAAATCTAGAGTTACCAGGGTCTTGTAAACTCCAAATATTTCAAAGAAAAACAGCATTCTCTTTATGTGACTACTACAGACTCAGTCTAATTGAAACTATGTCTAGAATATATACCAAAAATAAGTGAAAAAAAACCCCTTTATTACAGCTCTAACATAATTTCGAACTAACCTACCTTGCAGAGCAGTGGTGGTCAACTTGAAAGTTTATAGAGGGCCTCAAGTGTGGGCCCTGCCACTTCCAGGGGGTCAACACAAAAGGAGCCTGTTTTTGTGTGTTGAGGTGCATTGTATCGAATTACCTCAACAACTTAAAATGATTAGAAGGTTGGAGTCATTATTGTTGTCAGTGCCCACAATAAAAACCCCAACATTTATGTCAGTGGTCAGTGGCACTGGTTTTAGCCCCCCCCCCACCTCCAGCTTGGTGGAAAATGGTAGTGTTTTTTTAATCCCCCTCCACATTGGTTGTCAGTCTTTTTTCCACCCCCAGTGGTCAGTGTATTAGCAGTAAAATGTAACCCCCCTGCATTGTTGGTCAGTGGTTATTTACATGATCACATGCTTCTGTGTTGTTGTCCCTCCTTAACAGGAGAGATAGGAGTAGGAGACAGGATATGGCAAAGTGATGTACAGAAAATTCTGTCTGTGAGTTTGCTTGAATAGCAATAAAGTGTATCCAATACAAAAACAACGTGGAAGTGCAACTCTTTCATTTAGGCTGGGTCTACCCATGTTATGTTGGATGCAGGTCACTCAGTATAAGAGTATTGTTCTTATTTCAGTGCAAGGTACTGAAACTCAGAGAGTGGTACCCCACTACGGCTCTGCAATGTTCCTACAGGTGCCAAACAGGTAGCAGACCCAGAACAATGTGGGCCACATTTGTGTTGGGCACCAGGGATGTAGAGTGTAATCCCGATAGAAATAAATACATATAAATATAATAAAATGTCAGCCAGAAAGTCCCTAGTGTAATTGTCCCCATATCCCTTCAAAATCTATATAACAATCACAATGCCTTAAATCCAGGAAGTGATGTACAGGTGGCATTCATTATATCACTGGGGCTTGTAGGAACACTTTGCCAGAGTAGACATCCCTGAATAGAAATATTTTGAGATTTTCCTTCGGCTAGAAATCACCAAAAAGTGTGTTAGGATGCTCTAATAGAAATATACAGTTTAGAAACAATAAATGATGAAACTGTATATGTTTCTGTATGCAAAAAAATAGGTTTTTAAATTGTGCTTGTCATGCTAGGAAATATTTGGTGACCAACTTGTTCAAGTCTCCTTTAAAAGTATCAGCACATCCAGTCATTCCATCTGAAAGGAAATTATCCCACACACAAGCCTGGATGTAACCCTCTTTTGAAAGCAAGTGGATATTCCATGTAGATGTGCACACACTCTTAGAATCACATTTTAAATATGCAATAATGGAATAATGA